TCCACCCCCATAACATAACATGAACAGAACAATAACTCACAGTCTCTGCCCCAGCATGCCCTGCTCCAGCCCGAGTATGAATGTGGCTATGTGCTTGTTTTTAGTGATTTGAAGTTTTGCACTGATGTGTGCTACCTTTTGGATCACGCGCTGTAGGTGTGCTAGCCCTTTAAAAGTGATTTTATTTTATTTTGCTCATCTCCACCCATGATTCCACCCCCTGCATGGCTGACCACAAAATACACATATGAACCAGCATTTGTGGTTTCTTGGTCACTGGTTGGACAGTAAACAACACCCTCTACAGTGGCCAGCCAGGGTCCACATGCAAAGAAATGTTCCCAAGTGCCCATATTTGTGCTGCCTAGCAACAACATGCATAGCTGAATATATTAATATGTAATATTTGCTATGAAACCAGAGAAATGTCCACAGTTTAAAAGATGCAGGTGTTAGTGTTGAAAGAAACATTTCCAAGGCAAGGCACATTTCATACACAGAGATTCTTATTTTAAAAGACAGATATCCTAACTCAGTCATGCACTGGGATGTATTGTGTGGAGTCTTAGGGTAACAGAGTGGATATCACCCACAGGTGACCAGGAGAAGCAATGTAAACAACAACCAAGATAGAGAGACACTACATACCCAGGAAAGCTTCCTGGGTAAATATTTTCCTTAGGAGCCGGTTGAGACTAAAACAGAGCTAAAAGGATAATTAATATTTGGAATGCCCACAACGGTTTCAGGATCAGTTCTCTGGAAGTGCACTGTGGAAACGTTCGTGGAAACGTGTATAAACTGAGAAGCTTCTGCATAGAAATACTAAAACATACATATGCTTCATTTTTTGAGCTTTAGGTGCCATCTAAGATAATTCAGAAAACAAGGCAAAGCATGCCATGAGCTCTTGAACCATCTATAAGTAATGTCAGCCATTGTCTTTTGTTTTTGCTGGCAGAGAGATGTTGCCATGTCACACTTTTTGATCCAGAAAAACGTTGGAAAGTCACTATTTTGGAAGTGTTATTATTAGACTAGTGCATTTTGCATTGCTACCAATGTAGCTATTAGACATTTTGATGTAAGGCTGGTTTGTATGTCTATCTCATATTAATGATTGTTCACTGTGCACATATAAGAATATGTATTGTAGCAAAAGCCCTTGTATCTTTATGCATTTATGGTAAATAACTTACACTGGGTTTGAAGCATGGACACTATTTTATATAATTGAACTGAATAAGAATGTAACCTTCAACTATGTTTAATCAGTTGCAATGTCTGTGTGTGTTTACTCTAACATTGACATGTATTTTTGGATAATACCGCTTCCCATGAAGGGAGTCGCAGGAGGAAGCAGGAGATTTGAATACAGTGGGATATAAAGATGTCTGGAACAG